CTTCCTCATTGCTTTGCACTGGGTTAGATTTGTATTTGGATGAGAAATATGGATCTGATGAGGTGTTTAATATATTTGATCCGTATATGTCTGGAGAACCAATTGCCTCTTCCTCATTGCTTCGCACTGAGTTAGATTTGTATTTGGATGAGAAACTGCTGCCTAGGACGCAAGATTTTGATATTATCATTTGGTGGAGATTTGTAGGGTATTAGGTATCCAACTTTTCAACAGATGGCTCGAGACATTATGGCAATCCCTATTACAACAGTAGCATCTTAATCAACATTTAGTACTAGTGGGAGGGTGATTAGTCAAATCTAAATTAGCCTAAACCTGAATTTGTGGAGACTCTTACGTGTGTGCAAGCATGAGGTCGTGCTAACATGTTAGGTAATTTCATTTTTTTACTTTTTTATCTTTCAATTTGTCATGTCATGTGTCTTTCTTTTCACCTAATTGCAAATCACATTCTTTGCCATTAGCTGAATTTGCTAACAAGACCAATGCATTCAACATGGTCGTTGAGGATGAATCAGAACCGGTATGTCCACACTCACACTTTATTGTTTCTACTATTATAACATACACATGGTCACTCTAATTTTGATTTCAGGAGTGTTGGTATTTCTTAACGGCATTACTAGAAATATGATTCCCAGCATTGGCACGGAAATACTCCTTGGTATATTAATGGTTACAGATATAATCCGGAAGCGCACAGATATACTTTTGTAGCATTACACCCGGAAGTATTGTAAGGTATCATATTTATTTAATCCCAAGGGAAGATATGATAAGGATAATTATGCTAATAATTTATATATTACTTGTATACATCAAAGTTTATGCAAGGGTTAAGTAATTCAAAGGTTAGGATAAAGGTGACATACAGAAGAAAGAACTAAGATACTCTTACTAAAAATTGATTTAAGCTAAGTGGAGAAAAATTAAGAAAAGAATTCATTCCTATACTTCTAATATACAAACATCTTTAGTCTACACTTGCTAATATACAGTCATGCAACCAATACCCCCTAACAATGCCCTCCTGGTGTTTTGAGAGACCACCCCTGATTGTTGAGTCCCTTACGACAACCCGTCATGGCCATACAACCGGGGCTAAATACGAAGGAGTATCCTCCCCAAGAAATTGTCTTAGGAATATATACTAACGTGGAAGAATACCTGTACTGAGCTGTCACCATCAGCGGCCCACCTCTACTATCCCGCAGCATATATGCCCGGATAATGAAACTTAATAATTTAGACACCATGCCTTTATTATTAAATACTACTCTATATCCCCTGGAATGACATAGAACAACCGAATAATCGGACATTAAACCTACACCACTGTAGTTCTCTGGTAAGCTAGCTACACAACTATATCCATACCCGAAATCTCCCGAAGACTCGAGGACTAAGAAAACTATTCTAATTCCTACTCAACTAGCACTAGAATACTACTAAACTTGAGAGAGCTATCTTCTCCTTAAGTCTGTGGAGAATGGAGTGAGATGAGGGGTATTTATAGGCCATGAGGTGCCCTTGGGAGTGTAGAGATGCTAAAAGTTCCCATGAACATATTTCCTCTTGCTTCACCTCCTCGTGCCAAGTGTCCAGCGACGGTTCTTCAGGTAGAACCGGTCATAACCGCCTTGTGACACTAAAAACTATCAACTGGTGAACAACTGGGCTAATTGGTCTAGCTGCTGGTTCGACCGAACCCTGGGTTGGCCTAATCAGCCCACAACTCGGCAGGTGCACTCCCTATTGATTCCTTAGCCTAGTAGTGTAGTCGTTGGGCCCAATTGATATTATTTTAATGGATTTAGAGGCCCATACACCCGTAAGTCTGCCTCTTGACAGATTACGATTAATTGTATGGTTATGTTCCATCGATTGTCCTCCATTTATGAATGCTTCTCCTGCATTTATGTTAGTAGCAAAGCACATAGTGTAAGTAGATATTTTATTTGGAAATTATGCATTCCAAGCATAGTAGTCTTCAATAATTAGATAATATTAACGGTCGAAATTGGTCGAGAACGCCCGTCAACGAGGATGATGCATCTACTATCACTGAAGTTTGAGCAATGGAGATTTCAAAAGCGAAGGACAGTGAAGGATGGGCTGGAATTGCAAACTATCTATCTACCTATATATTTTGTTATGTTGGCAGTGTAATAGCCTATTAAGACTGTGAGGCTGTGACTTTGCTTGCTTGGATGTGTCATGTGTTAATTGTGATCCTTTTGATTATAAGTGTCTACTTGAGTGCCTCTTTGGAGGTTGCTACTGTCTTGGTGAATTGCTGTGTATTGAATGAAATGAAGTGTGAATTGCTACTGTCTTGGCTCACTGAAAAAGTATTTCTGCCTTGTGGTCATGCATGCTGCATGCATTCAGTTAATTGATGGAATGATGGATCATGAAAATATTTGTGTGATTGTATTCTTGCTGGACTTTTTAGGATGCTATTCAAGTATTGATGCTATTTTTGATGATATGTCAATTATGTTCAACCTTTGTTCTTGCTGAATTGATGATTATCTTGTATTTTTTGTGTTGATTGATGGAAAGGCTACTCAATCTGGGGGCTCGGTCAGGTTGTAGGACCCCGGAGAGGTCGGGGATGGGGTCTAATTTCGCCCCGCATCTCTACTCAGGGCCGGGTGGAGAAGTCAGGGGTCGGGGGAGGTGTCGTTCCAGCCCAACCCACCCGACCCGCCCCGTTGCCATCCCTAGGTAAGAGAAATGAGGGGATAATTTTAAGAAAGGACAAGTTTGTGGCCATCGCTCATTCTCCAGGGTAGCAAAATCACACAAATTTTGATTAACAATGAAGAATGTAGGATGCTCGTTAGTAGGTGTGCAAGCAGGCCAGCTCGCGAACCACCTATAGGATGACCCATTTATTTGTGCTATAAGAAGGTTCGTGGGCTTGTCCACTTGCACCGTTAGTCATTAGATATCGGTGATTACTATGCCATAGTCCTGTTGCAATTTATTCCACTTTCTTTGCTTTTCCATGGCTGATGTGTAATGAAAAAAGTTATCCAAAATTATTTTATTTCTTCATTATTTTATCAAGTCTATGAAAATCCATCTGCAAAATCTAGATAAATTGAACTAAATTATCCCAAAATGGTCTTGGCAAAGTTTAAAATTAACTCTCAGAGTGACATGGTCTTTTTGCGTAGGCTAATGAAGTGGAATGAACGGAACACTGATAGCGATGACATTTTTACGTCAAGTTGGCTTTGTACGATGGCATTGTGTAGAAATTGTGTTGCTTAATGGTATTTCTTGGAATGGGAGGCTTTGCCAACCGAAGCAATATATGGTACTTCACTTTTACTACTTATTTTCTCCTGTTTTGCCAACCGAAGCAAGAATGATTTCCTGCGTGTATTCTGAAGTATTACAGAATACAATCCTAAATTCACATGAGATGGAACAAGCAAATTTATTAATGTTTGAGTAAATTCCATCTTAGGCTATTTTTTTAGAAAAAAATTGAAATGATACTATTTTAGTTTTCAAATTTTTTTTCTCAAAAATATATGAGATTCTAATGAATTTGCACGAATAGACCGTTGTCGCGATTCAGCAATGAGAAATCGCAAAACCAAACAGTCTCGCAGGGTGAGAATGCGAGACCGCTTGGTCTCAGTTGTTCCCGCAACGAGAAGGCCTCGGTCTCGCTCGTTCCTCGAGCAACACCGGCCGGAATGATGCTAATGACACAATTAACAATATTAATGAAGGATTAATTAAGTACTAATGATGCTAGTTAAATAAATATTAATTAATTACTCCCTCCGTTTCAGGTTATAAGACGTTTTGATCAAAGTCAAACTGTTTCAAATTTGACTAAGTTTATAGACAAATATAGTAATATTTATAATAATAAATTAGTTTCATCAAATCAATAATTGAATATATTTTCATAATAAATTTATTTTGGGTTGAAATGTTACTACTTTTTTTTATAAACATAGTCAAACTTAATGCAGATTGACTTTCACCAAAGTCGTCAAATAACCTGAAATGGGCGGAGTAATTAATTGTTAATGACACTAATTGATCTATTAATCGCGCGAGTTCGTGCAGTCTCGCTTACTTACCGTGCGAGGTCACACGATCTCGTGGCGCGAGATCGCAGTGTCGCGTACCTACCACACGCGAGAGCGCGCGGTCTCACACTTTTATTATGCGAGAATGGTATGTTTTTGCCATTTCTTCCTAAACTTGTATATTTACGTAATATCAGTGGAAAAAAGTATAGTTTAATTTCTTTTTTCCTTTTTCTTATCAGTGCTGCAAATTGGACCAAGGTAAATAAAACTTTTCACTTTGGACCAGGTTTTTTTACACGAGTTTTAATTTAGACTCTCTTCTTTTTCCTCCGGCTCTCTTTCTTCCTCTCTTTTCTCCGTACCACCCAAGGTCTTTTTCTCAATCAGGAGTAGTGCACGGGAAGGTCAGAAGCAAAACCCTTCACAGTGCACCGACATGTCGAAGCTGAGCTCCAGCTCAAATGCAGGTGGCATGGGCGAAGGTGGAGCCTGAGCGGCGCACGTGGAAATTTAGCGCAACACAACATGTAGCACTAGCGGAGGTCGAGCTTGAGCGTGGCTGCCTGCTACGTACTTAGCTTAGTTCTTATTGTCAGTTCAGCAAGTAGCAGCATGTGTCTGTCATGATGTTGGCTCGTTGCCGGCCAGCTTCTTCGAATGGTAGTTGCTACCAGCAAGAATACTTGTTGTGCACCCTCTGCTGTCCTTAGAATTAAGCCACAAGTACTAGCTAGCCGGTGATTGAAAATGCACACTACCCTTTGAATTCTTTGGAAGACTATAGAAATTGAACGAAAGAGAGGAGGAAGAGATCCAGTTGGAGGAAGAAGAAGGGAGTTAAATTAAAACATCGTGTAAAGATACCTGACCCAAAGTGAAAAGTTAGGTTTAACATAGTCCAAATTGCAACAATGGTAAGAAAAGGTGGCTCAAGGTGCAATACACTCTTAATGTTTTGATCCTAGGACTATTGTCTTTGCCAACTACAAAATACACAATACAAACTACAACTCCCACAACGAATGTCGGCATGACAAATACATTATAGCTCAGATATATAGTGCGCAAACACAATACTTTTCATCCAATTGTTTCACGGAATTTTGACTTGTGACAAGTACGTCATGGCCAACCTCTTATTTATCAAGCGCTCTTCCTGGGAAAGTTTTGACCTTTATTAAATCCAAACAAAGTATTGTTGATTTTTTTAGTGAGTACTAAAATATCAGCATAAGCGACAACTAGAAAATGTTGCAGTCAGGAGGAACAAAATTAATCACCTTATGCTGCTGCTTCTGGTTTCTCATCCGGAACCTGTGGTTGGCTTAGCTCAAGACGAATTTCGTCTGCATCATCCTGAGTATTGGTGTTCTGAGTAACAGAACTTCCCTGTCCTCCATTTACATCTTGTTTTCCATAAACCTGATACATTGAAAGAAATAATATTAATAACAAATCATATTCTTATATATAGTACCTCACATTGTGGAACACGAACAGAATATGAAATATATATGCTTTGTTCTTAATTAAGTACCTTTCGCTGGAAATTCACACTATCTTGACGGATCATGTTGAACTCACGGTGGAGTTCCATGTTTTCTCGGTGCATGATGTTCTCCTATAATTGAAAAAAGGGGCTAAGTTAAGATGATATTAGAACGTATTATTCCTCGTGTTGATATATTACAGAACTAATTTTCCATCGAGTACGTACTAAAAACTTTTTACTAACAAAAATCTAAGCTGTTTGATTGAGCCAACAGGAAGTTATAAAAAATGAAGATTCAACCAACAATGTGTCATATCAGTTTTATAAACTGTTTGCAAAAAAAAAAAAATAGTACGCATATCATTTCCCTTTTCTGTTGGATATATGATAGTAAAAATAATAGTTGGTGACTAACCTTCTTTCTCAATTCTTGAATTTGTTCGACCATGATTTTGTCCTGCAAAAGGTGTTAGACGCACCACCATTTGTTCATCTCTCGATTCATAGAGAAAGAGTTAGTATTACCTTCTTTAGACGAACGTTATGCAAGCTCGTCTCCAGTTGATTTTCTAGACTCTTCAGGTCATTCCATTCAAGGCCAGAGAGATCATGTGCCAACAACTGCCTGCAGTAGCTTACATGCATGATGCATATCACTCCCATGGTAATTGGGCAAGTACATCTATATTATTCTTACAGTAGAAAAAAAACTATATTATTCTTGCACATACTTCATGTGTGATTTGTGAATATTGCAGTTGCAAACAAAATAAGCTTTTCTCTAGTGATGGTGATTTATATAAGCCAACTAATTTAATTATGTTTTACTTGAATGATGGTCATACCTTTGACTTCCTTCTAAGTTATGCAGTTGCTGTTTTAAACGTTCCGCCTCTGCTTGCCAGAACTATTAGCATATGAGAAGTAGGAAAGCAATAGTTAATACAAATATATCTAGTGACATTAGTGTCAATGTATAGTAGAAGAGTGTGCGATTGCTTACAATTAACCATTAGAGATAACTATATAGTGTGGTAATATTCTTCGGAAACTAAATGAACTGGCATGTTCTAGCACATCTAATTTCTGACGGTGTAAGAAAATATGCCACACTATAGATAAATGGTCGACCAACTGTGGCCGATGATAAATATCCACTTAATTAAATAACTACTGGCTAGTCATATTATCAAAAGTTTCACCTAATGGCTAACAGTAGGCAAAACTTAACTCCAGCAGTGGCTTTTTATTAATAAGGTTTTCTGCCAACCATGGTCCTTGGAGTGTTATATAACTGAACCAGCTAGAATACAAGTTTATAACTGACAATAGCGAGAGAATTGCGGTCCTCGTGAGGTATAGAGAGGTACGCATAATGTTAATTAGTTAGGAGGAATATACCTCCAAACAAAGATTGAAACCATCCACCTCATAAAACTCAAGAAAAAAGTCAACAAGATATAAATTATATTAGTATACTATATATATATCATAATGTATAAGACTAGTTTTTGTGATCTCTTTATGGAGAGGTAAGATACATCTCTCATATGGGAGAAAACCTTAATCCTGTTACATCACGTAGCATCTTGCTCCAAACTATATGAACTCAACTTACTTGGGTAGTCCTGAAGAAGAAGAATAGGAAGCACAGTGCCAGACCGATGTCTGCACAAGCCACCGTTGACTACCGGTATGCTGCTATCTCCATATTCATATGGTGAAAATCTACTTTCCTATTATGACCTCCAGTCAGGTAAAAATCTGTTTACCTGAAATGAGCTAGAAATATACCTATGGCGTGGGTATCAGATGTGCAGAAACTACTTTCTCTAGATACGCTGAAATGAGATAAGTCATCATCGATAAGAAAAAATAGTTACACTTATCTCAATACAAACTACTGATACTTTTCACTTAGTCCATGAACTATTGATATTCACTTCTCCTTTTATTTTACCATTTCTTTTTCTCGAAAACGCAGAAGAAATGCGATTCGTTTCATTAAGGAAAAGAAACCAAAGTAAAAATATTTACAAAGAATGGGAGAGCAAAAAACCATCCCACCTAAACACACATAAACCCAAAGCAATGCCACTAAGAAGTTTTTGGCAGGCAGAAGCTCCTGCGAAACACTAAAGGTTGCCCCCATTCTCTACCCCTTGCAAGACCCTCGCAACTCTACAAATGATGCTGTTGATAACACAGTTGTTACGATACTTCCAAATCTCCCAAGTCACTAAGGAAATCAAGAAGTTAATCGCTTTTCATTCCTCCTTTGACCAGTATTTACCCTTTTTCAACATCAAGTACACCATTACTCTAAAATAGACAACAGTATAGAACTCACTACCTGAAAAAAAGTTTTTTGCAAACAGACTCACCAGCGAAAATTTATGAGGGCTGTTCTTGTGAAAAAAACGACTTTTGCAGGCCTCTCGCCTGTGAAAATCATTCTTCAAGACAGCCATTTAATTAATACTTTGCACGAAACTAAGGCGTGCGAGCCTTGCACGTCCTAACACCACTCGTTTTCCCTGCACCTGCACCTTTTTCTCTCCTCCATCCTCTCCTTAATTTTTATCTTCTCCTCTTGACCCTCCTCTCCTTTGCTCCAGCATCCCTTCCCCCTCATCACCTGTCTTAGTGTGAGCAAGGCACTTATATCTTTTGTCGTTGGTTCTATATGCCCATTTTTGCAAAGCAAAATAAAACGGAAAATTATCATAATAAATAATTGGAGCTGAATCGAGTAATTAAAATTAGCTCCATGCTTGAGGTCTAGCCGGCATAGCTTTGGATCATATTTATTTCTTAACTTGGTATCAGTACCCACTTATTATTTCTATAAAAAACGATTTTTCATGGCGGTAGGAGGCGTATCCGTATTTGGTGGAGTAGGGGAACGGACTCGTGAAGGAAATGATCTTACCTATTTTTTTTCTGGCAGTCATATTAGAAATCAAGTTGTGAAATTCTAACGTGGGATAGAGGGTTTACGACCGCTAGGGAAAATCCATTTTCGCTAGCGGTGAGTTTAGGACCGCCAGTGAAAATTTGTTTTTGCTGGCGGTTGCTTAAGAAATCTGCTTGCAAAATAACCCTATTTTTTCTGGCGGGCTTCTTAACCTACTACTAGCAAAAAATGGACTTTCGCTAGCGGGTACTAAAGAGCAGCACCCTTGAAAAAAATCATGCTCTTAAAAATATCTTCGCCCATTTAAAAATCGCCACCCACCAGTTGTTCCTCCTCCCTTCAGATCCATCTTCTCCTCCTCCCTCCTCCCTCCAGATCCACCAGCACCCTCTCCTACTCCCTTCCAACAGGCAGCGGCGGTTGCTCCGGCGGCGTTTCTCGGGTGGCGGGGCGCGGCGCTCCAACAGCAGCGTGTGGCGGCGACGGCGACAGAACGTGTGGCGGCGACGGAAGGCGAGCGCGCCGCGGTGCACGGTCCCTCCGCCTCTCTCCCTCCTCCCTTCTCTCTCCACGGCCGCCAGCCTCCCTTCTCTCTCCACCGCCGCTAGCCTCCCTTCACTCCCCACCGCTGTGTGGGGAAGGAGGCGGCGGCGGGGGAAGGAGGTGCGGCAGTGGCACGGGGAAGAGGGTGGCGGCGGTTCTCAGCGGTGAGGTGCGGATCTAGCTCCGGCGAGCCTTGGGAGGGCAGATCCACCGCCACCGGTCCTTGGGAGTGGCACGGGGGAGGGGGCAGTTGCGGTGCTCAGCAGCACCGGCGTGTGGGAGGGGCAGTGGGGAGTAGAGCTGCGCAGGCGAGCCCCGGGAGAGCGGATCCGCCGCCGGCCATCCACGCCCTCCCTCGGGAGCAACAAATCCATCCTCGCCTCTTAATCTTCGTGATGTAAACTTTTTGTGCTCGATCTTTGATGTCTCACCTCTTAATCTTTGTGATGTAAAATTTTTGTGCTTGATCTGTGATGTGGAACTTGTAGAATTTGTGCTGCAATGTGAAATTTTTGTGTTAATTTGTGGATTTGGAATCTGTGATTGCATTTTTGCGGAATTTGTGCTTGTTGTGGATTTGGGGTATGAGATTTGGGGATGTGGATTTGGGAATGCAGGGTAGCAGCATGTGGGTATATTCATTTTTGCTGGCGGCTAGACGGCAGCTATGTGGGTTTTTTTTTCCAAAATCGATTATCTCTGGCGGCCAGTATAACACAGCCGCCAGTAAAAATGAATTATCGCTGGCTATCGGTGTAAGACAACCGTCAGCCAAAATGGATCTTTGCTGGCGACTGGCTTAAGACGATAGCCTTATCGCTGGCGATCGATAATCGTTAGCGAAGATCTTGGTTTTCATTGGCCTTTGCTTTGTGGTGGAAAACCTAAAATGACCGCCATGAAAGATGGTTTTTTTTAGTAGTAGTGGATATTCAATCAAGTGTAAGCTCGTATTAGGTCTTATAGCTAATTACTATCATTAGCCATATCATTGCCTAGTTGGATTAATTAGATTAATTTACTCTGATTTGTTTGAGCCTTGATCTCACAAGCCTTGGAGCGCATGCGGTGATGCGCATGGTCCTCGATTAGCGGTCTAAGTCCAGTATGCCTGTGTGCATATAAATAGGCCAAGTGATCATGTAATTACAGATGCGATTGGTTTTCACGTCTTGGTGTTCTACGGTTTTCTCTAAGCGCTCCCATCTGATTAAAGTGAGTTTTGCTACTGCCACAATCAAGGTGAATCGGATAACACGCGTGGCGCTGATGATAGATTCTCTGGCTGAATTCCTCGATCGGTTCCTTTTGGGATCCAAACCCTTTCTGATCGTGTATTAATTGATACACGAGTACAGGAGATCATCTACTAGTATTTACGGTTTCTGGTTGTTAATTAATTAGCTGATATCTATTTAATCAGATTGATTTCTACTTTGTGCTACCATCTATTTGGCCCTCGTATATATTTTAATTTGCAACGTCTGCACTGTTTTGATCTCATACTGTCAGTGCTTGTGATTCTGCTCATTTTATTCAAGACTTATTTACTGCTCAGATTATCTAAACAAGAGATATATAGTCATATATATCATTGGTTGCTGATTGTTACCGTGAAAGAGAGGAAAAAGTCAGGGCACTCGCTGCGGAGTGCTCATCTCCTCTCCTCTTTCTAAAGGGTAGCAAACCTCGCGACAGCCAAGGGAGTTCCCCTCCCCCTATATCCCATCCCCTTGCCTCACCTCTCCCACTTTCCGGCGCGCGACAGTTGCAGAGGCAGCATGCTTTGGGCGGTGATGGCAACTCCGTGGGGTGGTACAGGTGGCGATATGTCAGGCTTTAGGCGGCAGCAGCAGGCACGTGCGGGAGCAACATTGAGAAGCTCGGCGATGATGGATCCAGTAGCAGGGACCTCATTGATGGCGGATACGACAGAGGGGACGTTGGTAACGGTGGGTCCAATGCTGGGACCTCAGTTATGGTGGATCCGACAGCGGAGACCTTGGCGACATGTGGATCCGGTGGCGGGGAGGTCGGATACCTGAGCGATGGCAATCCGTGGCGGCAATTTATTTTAGCTGGGATTGTGCTAGGGTTCCTGGAATGTTTTTTCAAATTTATATTTTTTTCATCAGAAATCTTGTTGTAATCGGGATGTGCCCACCTACGAAAATATGTTTTTGCGTGCGGTTTTGGTACCTAAGAAAATTTTGATTTTTACAGGCACCTTGTTCTGGGTGGTAAGTCGGTCAGCGTGTGAAAATGGATTGTGGTCATTTGGGAAAAGCATTTACATAGCAGTGATTGTTAGTAATAGACCGAAAGTTGCTAGGCAGTTTTTGATAGGGTGTCAGTTGGAAAATCTTCAGTCGATGGCCTGGTAGGGGTGAAGACATTCTTGCTTTGTGGTATTTGTTATAGGTCACTTTAGTTTTATGGTTTTGCCATAGGATATTCTAGCTTTGTGATTCTCTCGCCAAAAGACACTAAATCCATTATTTTAATATATCACTTTCTAAAGGAGAGATAAAACTTTGCAAAAGACAATTTTACCCTTGTTAACTTGGGCTAAAACCATTTAGGCAAAACATTTGCTACTAAAACCAAATAAAAACAAAATCAATTCAAATCATGCCTTCGCGCATTAGTTTTGTCCGTGCAATTCAACCGATTAAGGTGAACCCAAATTGAAAACCAGCCCAAGAAACCAAATCCCACTTGACCCGTTAGCACCCGAAATCTCAATGGATAATTAGATAAATTGAAGCTAGTATATATAAATTAACCCCATATAAATATTCTCTAACTATACTACACAAAATTATTATAGAAGTAATTAAGTGGGTTGATGTCTAAATGGCTGTTTTGCAGAGCTTCATAATGACTGATCAATTTGTTCTCAAACTGTAGTGCGAACTGAGCCATCACTACTTAAAAACACATTTTTCTATACCGTTAAATCCGATTTTCGTAGGCAGCTGGGTGGCCTGCACGCACCCAGTTGTTTGTGAAATCGCTCTTTTTGCATGTGGGTGGCGCACCCACACACGAAAATTGAATTTTTCACGTGCGGGTGCTTATGTCGTCTGCATGAAAATTAAAAATAAAAAAATTCCGAAACCCTAACCCTAGAAGACGTTGGTAGCGGAAATGACCATCGCAGGGCCGGCGGAGGCAGAACCCGCCCGCTGCCCGCCGTTCCGCCGGCTACCCAAGGTCGCCCGTGCCGCCCTCTCCTGCCCGCCCGTTGCCTTAAGAGGCTGCCTGCGAGAATAAGCTCATTTTGGATGTGGCCCCTTAAGAGATCCATTTGCGAAAATTGATTTTTGTATGTGGGTCTTTTAAGGAGCTATATGTGAAAACAGATGTCTTTTTTTTTTGCTGCAAACATTGCTAGTTACGGTCTATTTGCAATCTAAAAGGGTCATGTCAAAAAATCGCTTGTGTACCCTACTAGAAAAACGATCTTTGCTGGGTCGACCCAAAACCACAATAGTCCCAGTTCCAAACAGAACCGGGACTAAAGATGATTTTTAGTCCCGGTTAAAAACCCCACAGCTATTTTATGATTTTTAATCCCGGTTAGTGTTACCAACCGGGACTAAAAATCATCTTTAGTCCCAGTTCATTCCCTGTCAGTAGGATGTCAGGGGACCGAGGATCACCAACCGGGACTAAAGATCATCTTTATAGTCCCGGTTGGTATTACTAACAGGGACTAAAGATCAATATTATCTTTAGTCCCGATTAGTAATACCAACCGAGACTAAAATTTAATACGTAGTATATAATCCCTCTTCCTTATCCTCTCATCTACAATCACAACAACATCTCACACGTAGAGATCCCTTCCCCTTCCTCACACTTATCCTCTTCCTCAAACTTATCCTCTCCTCCTCCCCTCCTCCCCTTCCTCCTCCCCTCTCCTCCCCTCCTCCCTTCCCATCCGGCCGGCGGCCGGCGGGGCCGCGGCAGCGGCGGCCGGGGCGGGCGGCGGCGGTGCGCGCGCGGCGACGGCCGGCGCTGCGCGGCCCCGCCGGCCGTGGCGGGCGGCGGCGGCCGGCAGGTGGCCGGCGGGGCCGCGCCCGGTGGCAACCATGGAGGCAGGCGACCGGAGGTGCTGGCCACGCGCGGCGGTGGCCGGCGGGGGCGCGCGCGGCGGCGGCCGGCGGGGGAGCGCCCGGTGGCGGCCATGGCGGGCGGGTAGGCGGCCGGAGGTGCCCGCCGTGCGTGGCGGCGGCCGGCGGGGGCTCTCCTGGCAGCGGCCGTACCCACTCGACTGCCAGCCGACGTTTTTTTTTAATAATTTGTGATTGATTGAGATGTATAATTTTGGGATAGATCTAAGATGAATCTGCGATGTATTTGATTTCGGTGTATTTTTTAGGATTTGTGATGTATTTGATTTGCTTGTATTTTTTTAGGATTTGTGATGTATTTGATTTATGTGTATAAGGAACTCAAGATTTGGGATGTTACTTTGAATTGGGGATTTGGGGATATACATGGCACTAGATTCGGGAGAAAATATGGATTAACTAGAAGAAACAAAAAAAAAAGACCATCCGCACTGCACTGCCGCTACCCTCTCTTTAGTCCGGTTTGTAACACCAACCGGGACTAAAGAGAGGGAACACCAACCGGGACTAAAGATCTATTTTTAGTCCCGAGTATTTGAACAGGGACTAAAGATAGCGATCTTTAGTCCTGGATTCGTACTCCCGATTGGAAAACCGGGACTATAGGGAGGTTACCAACCGGGAGTAAAAAGGCTTTCTCCACCAGTGGTAGTAGTGCTTGTATGTAACCTTCCTGTACTAATCGTGCTATCTAAAATGACATTTGGTCACATAGATATCGCCAGAAGCTAGACTATTAATTTCACAATAGTGCAAATAACACAAATAATGTACTCTCTCTGTCAAAATTAAAAAAAGCCAAACCTAGGATAGAATGAGATATAATCTACTATATATAATGAATCTGGACAGGAGCTATTATGTCATAGTTGATTTTTTTTTCTAGATGAAGGGAGTACGTATGTATATATTAGCATACCTTTGCCTCGGTGCTCGCACTCATAAGTTGCTGACCATCTTTAATCTGCTGATATCTTTCGATTACTGATCTCATGCTGGCAGGAAGGGTAAAAATATTAACGGATTAGAATATTATTTCTGGAAAAATATTACTGGCAAAATTAAGTAACAAGACATTTTTTTAGTAATGTTGTATGTACATATATGTCCTCGTTTCAGGAAAACAAAAGGAAATAAAATAAGGTACACTTTTTACACTCCATCAGCGGCACGGGCAGCTGCCCGGGCTCCACGCGCGCGCCACCGATTAGATCAAGTGATTGTCTTGTGTTAAAATCCGTCGATTTTCTGACTTCAACATAACTAGAAGCATCTGTACTGGCAGCTAGCCTTGCAGCACGTTGGATGATGCAATTAGGCCATAGCCACTGGTTGACTTGCCTGCTTCACAATGGATTGACATGATCCACTCAAGTAATGAGCATATAGTTGCGAACACACGTCGATTATACATACCTAATACCAAACCTCTTGTGTCGCCCCTCCCCCACTGGCAACCGGGAGGCGACGATCTCGCCGGCACTCGTCTCCCCTTCCCTCCTCCTCTGTCTCGTCGCCGCCCGAGCGGCTGCCGGCAAAGCCGCGCGGCCACAAGGACGGCGACGGCGGGGCTTCGTCCTCGTGCTCAGGCATGGGAAGGGGACCTGCTCGGGGTGGTGGAACCGGCCAGATCCATGCTGGCCGGCCGGATCTGGCGGTGGGGCAGCCAGCGGCGGGGCTGAGCGATGCGGCGGCGGTGTCTGGTAGTGGTGGCAGCGGCGTCGAGAATTGGCAGCGGCGGAGGAAACCACCAGATCCGCGCCTGGATCTGGCGGGACAGCAGCCGGCGGCAATGTCTGGTGGCGGGGATGGCGAGGGCGGCGAGGTGATGGCGGCGGTGAGGTGAACCTGGCTGCGTCGGCAGCGGATCCAGCGCCCGGAGGTCTGGCGGTCGTGGCGACGAGTTCGTGGCGATGGCGGTGCTGGCTACCATGACAAGCCGTCTTTGTCGTGTGCCGTTGGAGCTCGACGACGGCGAGAAGGTGCGGGAGGATGGCGAGATAGCGGCAGGGATGGAAGGGCAACAGCGGCTGCGGTGGTGGCGACCGTCACCATGGTAGGGGGAGGCATGGCAATCTTGGACGGCTAGTCCAGGGTGTGGCAGATGGCCGCATCCAGCCGGCGCGGCAGCATTTGGAGGAGGGGTCGAAGGCCCGCTTAGCGTAGAGAGGCGCAGCCGATGACAGCAAAGGCTGACTTGGCGCGAGAGGCGCGAGCGGCGGAGACGGAGGCCGGCTAGGCGCGAGACGCGCGGCCGATGGAAGGAGGCCGGATTGGCGCGAGAGGCGCGTCCGGTGGAGGAGGCTGGCTTGGCATGAGAGGGGTGGTCGGCGGTGGAGGAGGCGACCTCGGCGTGAGGAGGAGCTGCCAGTGGATGTTGGTGGTCTTTGGCGCACGAAGGCTGGCCGGCGGGGGGCGCTGGTGCAGTGGTCCCACATGGCGGCAGAGGTTGAGTGGTGGTGGAGCGTTGGTCTAGCGGCGGTCGGTCACGCTTAGCAGCGGCTGGTCCGGTGCTAGCCTTCTCCCGGGCTTGTGTGTTAGCACTGTCGGTGTGTAGGTGGTGGTATTTTTTTTCCTTTTCCTGGTTACGACCCTTTAGGGTTGTAATCTTATAATTTTTTCCTGCTCTATCAATAGAACTTCACACCGTCTCGTGCAAGTCATTCAAAAAAAAAGGTAATGAGCATATATACGTCCATTTTTATAATAAGATTAATTTAGTTTTTCAACAAGTGAAAAATTATATGCATATTAAACTAAACTATATGCTTTTGTTAGAAAATTGTTTTTATCTTCAATTGGCAGTAAAATGAGCATATAAACATTATATAAGTGGGTACTGATTTTATCGTTTTGTTTAGTCTTACCTAGGCTTCACAAAATTCCTTGCTCCGCCACCGCACTCCATGAAATGTATCAAACAATAGGCAGTATGATGACATCTCTTCTAGAATAATTATAAGATATACACCTATAAAGATTTTTTTTCTATGTACTCAGCTATAAGATATGTCTTACCTTAATTCATTTTGTAGAAGGTGTGCGTATTTTACAAATACTCGGATTTGTAAAATTTTGGATTATATGGAAGAGCACAAGCTAAGTATACCACACCACACTGTACGTACAAACACCTAAGTGTGCTCCCTTAAAACACATCCAAGAGACCCGTAGTAATTAAATTAATATAATTTACTTCACTAGCTAATACCTACTGAGAACACCCATTAGAGTAATTGTAGTGCTGGGATCTCAACACTAATACGTAGATGGACTCATCCACCTTGACTCCACCACCACACTGCGATTGTTTGTTAATATTAATATAAATATTTACCCATAAAATTGGATCAACAGGAAGAATTTTCAAACTGTGTTCACGCTATATTGGTTTTATATCAATTAAAAATATATTTTATGTCAGAAGAAGGTATATTTTATGAGAAACCATAGGTAAAGTTAAAAATGTACGTAGATGATGGTCTGAAAACAAAATAAACCTTTCAAAAGTAAACAAAGAGAGAAATTCTCATCGTCCTAGCTAACATGAGTACCATATTCTGCATGAAACAGCAGGGTTAAACCACATGCATGTCTGTGTTTATGGCCAGCACTGGCAGACAAATTTAGAGTTCTTCCAGGGACGTACTTGTAGGAGCCAAAGTAATTAAGAGACAACTAGGAATAACACATCTCACTCTATATATATGGATACACCATATGGTGCAACGAGCGAAGAGGCGTTTCAAAATACGCGGTTAATTTGTTTTGAAAAAAAGTTATAACGTCAGGGTTTATTAGGATTGTTGATTGGGACACCAACAAGATAAACGTCCTGGCGTTTTTTATTATAATCTTGCTAATTACCCAGTTCAATAACATGTCTAGAAAAGCTGAGTTCATGTGAACTGTTATTTTCATGTTTCATTTGACCAACAGGAAATGTGAGGAAAAAGAACCACCAGGGCAGTTAGATTTTTTTAGCAATAAAAAGGTAAATTAATCCGTAAAATTATTCAGCACTTGAATATATACCTTACCCACTCACATGCAGATATCAGTCGTTGCCCTTATCAGAGTGCGCATGCAAATATATCAAATTAATTAGTACTCCTGTATGCACTTCCTGACAACTCTCGCTTTAGCACATATAGCAGATTGAATAATAATTAACAGACGGTATCCCCCAATAACTGATCATAGGTAAGATTGCGAGAATTACTGTAATTACGAAATGATAAAAAGGGGATAATAATCAGGCAAAATCTATTGAAGATTCTATAATCGCTGACGTCTTCAATGATTATATATGTTTTGGTCGTCTGATCATATACATATGTGTTGCTATAGAGGGGGATTCGCACTAGGCAGCAGGATATAAGGGTTTTCTAGAATCTTAAGGAGCAGCGCTAACTGCCAGTTGTATTTTGCGTTCTGCATGTTTTCCGTGTTGCAGCCTGCAGTTGTGGTGTTTTTCTGAATGCCTAGTATGACTCTAATTATTCGGAGTGTTTTTGCAACGTTCTAGAGAGAAGTATTGAGAAAGAGAGGGAGAGAGACTACAGAGATACCGTAATCATATGCGCCTTGCATGCTCTTACAATTGGAAAGTACTAACAGAGAGATATCGATCCTACAATCCAACGAATTCCAACAAAAACTCTCTACACGATCTAACAAAAGATAGATTTATCCATTTGGCAGGATCGAAACACCAGGAAGAAATAAACGTGATGAGTAGTTCCATCAAGATCAATCATATATATCTTAGGTTTTGTCAGAAGAAAGAGGGAAAACTAAAAATATTATGACACAAAACCAAGTTTCCCTGGAATCGATTCGCAATATTGAGACCCAAATATTGAAATAGATTATATAGAAGTGATGCGTCACCTGGAGTTGGAGTAGTCATAGAGACGGCCAGTGCTTGAGAAGACCAGGACGCCGACCTGGGCATCACAGAGGATGGCCAGCTCCTTGGCCTTCTTGAATAGCCCGCTCCTCCTCTTGGAGAAGGTCACCTGGCGGCTCGTCGTGTTCTCGATCCTGCTGATGACGGTCTTCCCACGAACCATCACGGCGACTCACTCAGCTAGCAGCAACACCGCCTCACACGCCGGCTAGCCGGAGAGATTTACCTAAGGCACCAACTGAGAATGGAAGCTGCACAGGATAGATAGATCTGGGGAGAGACAGGGAAACAACCTGCAAGCTAGGAATAGATCGAGGGCAGGACGGAGAAGACAATATGAAGGCTTTCTTATTGCTATGGCTGGGGTTGTGTTCTCCTTTGAGATTGTTTATTAATACCTGAGTTTAGAAGCTACTCCCCTTTTGAAACCTCTACCTCGATTCGATGGCTGACGATTGATTGCACTGGGAGTCTCAGAACTGCAGTGCATGTGGTCCTCGAATATCATAACCAGCCCTCTGCATCTGTTAGCGGAAAACAAATGAAAAGAAGGCAATCAAAGTTAGGTACCGTTTAACTTATTGTTCATGTACTCTTAACTATCCTATTAATTACTGCTGGGGAAGAGGTTTTTAGTCACGGTTTGTAACACTCTTTAGTCCTAGGTTACAAACCGGGACTATGAAATAACTGGGACGTACTAAAGATGATTTTTAATCCCGGTTGGTGAATAACCAATCTTTACACCAACCGGGACTAAAGGAGATGATCGTGTTACCAATCGGGACTAAAAGATTTTTTTTTCTTTTTATTTCCATTGTTTTTATGATGTTTGCACCTCGACCACAATCGCCGTCACACCCAAATCCCCACTAATCATACACAACCATCCACAAATCATACAAAATCATCCATAATACATGCCCATCCACAATATCCATAAATCATTCACAAAATCATCCCAAAATCAACAAAAAAAATCTACAAATCAATTCACAAAAAAATCTACAAATCAACTCCACTGCCGCTGCCGCCCTCCCGCCTACCAACGGCTGCAGCCCGGCCGGCCCGCTCCGGCGCCGCCGCCCAGCCGCCTCCCCTCCTAGATCCGGCAGAGGGGAGGCCGCGGCCGCGGCTGCCGAACGACCGCCTATCTCCCCGGTCACCTCCCCTCCTGGATCCGGCGGAGGGGAGGCTGCCGCCACCCTTACGTCCCTCGCGCTGCCCCCACGCCACCGCCGCCCAGGCCGACGCCCCTCGCATGGGTCGCCACCGTATGCCGCCTCGGCGCCACCACCAGTCGAAAGGGAGCCGAACGGGAGGGGGATGAGAGGGGAAGGGGCCGGAGTACGAGACGGGAGGAAAGGGGAGGTGGAGATGGGGGTGACTAGTGAATGAGAGGGAGGAGAGGAGGAGAAGGAGATAAAGTGCGTGAGGAGAAGGATCGAGGAAGGTGAGGAGTTATAGCGCTTGGGGAGGACGAGGTGGCCGGCCATGTAGCGCATGTCTCGGGGCTGATTTTTAGTCCCGGTTCTTTAACAACCGGGACTAAAAATATATCTGTAGTTTCGGTTGGTAGCACTAACCAGGACTAAAGATAGTGAAGGGGTCTGACACCGCCTTCCATGTTTTGAACCGGGACTAAAAATGATCTTTAGTCCCGGTTGGTAACTCAAAAAATACCCCTGGCCTTTTGAATCGGGACTAAAGAATAGATATTCTTTAGTCCCGGTTCGATACTCTTTATTCTCGGTTCCTACTCAAACCGGGACTAATGTAGTTTTTGGCCAACTCAGCAAATATGGTTTCTTCAGTAGTGTATTTTGCATGTTAATGAGACTTTTGAAATAATCATTTGCAACAGTTCAACTAATTAGACCGACGCCTAATGGCCATGGCTTCTTTTGCATGTATACGACAATTCTCTCCTCACTTGAGCATTCTCTGATCTTGAGTCTTGACACTGTTAGTGTGGTAAGAAAAAGTGTATAACACCCATGATGTTCAAACAATTTTGTATATAAAAAGTTACAAACAAGTCAATGTGCGGTTTTTCCTTTCAGCAATCCATTAGACTCGGGAGAATAGGGAGGCATCCTCTCATATATGATGCCATGTTCCTCACATAATAAGTCAAGCTCGTTTGAGAAAAACTCTCCACCACGATCAGACCTAAGTCTTTTTATCTTTTTGTCAAGTTGATTTTCAACTTTTGTCTTATAAATCTTAAAATAGTCTAGATCCTCGTCTTTCATTTTCAACAAATACACATAGCAAAATCTAGCAGCATCATCAATCAATGTCATGAAATATCGTTTTCCACCCTTCGTCAATACCCCCATTCATTTCACAGAGATCTGAATGCAGGAGTTATAGAGGTGCCAAGTTTCTCTCTTTGGCGGCCTTGTGAGGCTTGCGAGGTTGCTTTGATTGCACACAACAATGGCACTTGGCGCACTTACAACCTTTGACAATGGAAAACTTAGGAATTAAACACATGCTGGAAAGCCGAGACATCAAGCCAAAAATAATATGACATAAACGTGAGTGCCAAACATTAGCGTTATCATCCACACTGCTACAAATATGGTTCACAGACTTATTGGAGAAATCAGAAATGGAAAAGCGGAACAGGCCTAACATTTACCAATAAAATATCCATGTTTAGACAAGACTACTTTATTAGAGAAATGCGTATGTAAAATAATGTTACATTTTTCAAGTTTAAAAGTAATATTATTGCTTCTATATATAATACCGTCCCATGAAAATTTTGATCTTCACAGTTCTAGAATATATCAATTTTTAGCCATGTATCTGGATAAGTGCATGTTCAGATTCGTAGCTTAAGTTGCTAGATTTTTAGACGGAGGTAGCAGGTCAATCTATCAATCAATGGAAATAGTAACTGATTGGAACACACTGTATCTTTGCATCTATTTTACTTTAAAGTAGGTAAAGTGAAGTGGTGATGGTTGTGGTTGATTAAGGTAAGAAAATAGGTAGATAAATTAAATCGATAATGGTTTGTGATTTGTTAAGATGAGGTATGGTTGGTATATTTTGAATAAAATTGAATACTAAATAAGTTTGTTGTATTTTAGCACGGAGGCATTATAGCATTGTATGCCTGAGAAGAAAAATGGATATATTAAGAGAAAATTCCCTGTGTACCCCTGAAAGTTCACCTAATTCCTTCTACGCCTTTGAATTTTGCTCATTCCCTTATATATACCCATGAATTTTAGTTAGGATCTCTTTCATGCCCTTTCCGCTCGTTGGCCGTTAAATATATTAATAGGGGTATACATTCCATGCAACCAGCCGCCCACTCTACACATCAGGTACAAAGACGCCCAAACTTTGTCATAGAGTGATGGAAATTTGTATCCATTTCAAAAAGAATAAAAAAAGATCAACAGTACTTTAACATACAGTGATTTGCAGTTCTCCCAGCCCTCAATTTATGTTCAACTATGGCTGTGTTTAGTTCTCTTCAAACTTTCAACTTTTCCGTCACATCAAATATTTGGACATATGCATGGAGCATTAAATGTGAACGAAAAAAACCAATTGTACAGTTTGTATGTAAATTGCGGGACGAATGTTTTGAGCCTAATTACGCCATGATCTGACAATGTGGTGCTACAGTAAACATTTGCTAATGACGGATTAATTAGGCTTAATAGATTCGTCTCGCAGTTTACAGGTGAAATCTGTAATTTATTTTGTTATTATTCTACGTTCAATACTTCAAATGTATGTCCGTATACGTCAAGTTTTTTTTTTTACCAAAACAACTAAACACGGCCTTATACCTTTTGCTCTGCTTATGGTATCGTCGTATCGACCGTTTCTGTAGTTTACTTTCACTTGCGTATTATTCCAATCAGATGCTTATTATTTAGGGCTTGCTACATTTGACCATGCAACTATCTTAGCCGACGTAGATATTTAAAGTAATACATATAATCAACCCCAAACCATTCTCAGAACAATCAGATGGTTTGTGATTTGTTAATTAAGATGAGTAATACATATAATCTCAATATGAAGTTAGACAGTTATTCTCAGAACCATTGCCTTAGACAAGTATGAATACCGCTTGTGGTGACCTCGACCTTCTGTACTAACGCCATTACTAATATAACATTGCGTACTTTGGTTGCCATTATCAGTTTAGCGAGCTAGTCAACTAAACAGGACAAGCAGACGCTTGTAAATTTGATGCTAACGAAAGCTATTGTTGCGGAATAAAATACATGTCAATTTGAGAGCTTGAAGCCAGCCAGGCAGCCAGCTTAATTGTTCGAAAGTCATCCCCAATTTTTTTTTTTTGAACTTAAAGTCATCCTCAATTTGGTGCAATAGATAAATGGCTGTACATAACTACATATCTACGCGCGTATAAGTAATTTTATTATCTCGGCGGGCATCAGCATTAACTTAAAATAGGGACATATTTATAACTAGCTAGACCAAGTGCGCCATGTTGACATTGCATGCATGTGTAAATGGAACAATGGTACGGAAAGAAACATCATGCCGTACAAAAGCTAATTCACAATGGTAGGCTGGTAGTGCCATGACGCATTGGACGGCCTAAAATATAGCAACTTCTGAACAGGAGGCCTGTACAGATTCGTAGGATTAGGATACGTCCTATCCAACCAAAAATTGTTATATTTTAGGATGGAGGGAGTATTTTGGAAGTGTGCTACATCGCTAGGTTCACACAGAGCAAGACGAGATAGTGGTTGCAATATGACGAGATAGGTGCCGGTTGTATGAACAACATAAATATAGCGGAACTAATGATTGTAGGTATTGTTGTCGATTCTAAAACTCATTGGTGTTAGGGGTGCATCTGTTTTTTTAATTTTTTAGATTCAAAAAAACATTTTGTATTTCACTATGCACCTATACATGATCACAATACGATTTCTACAACTAACAGGATTTTACGCATGGGGTTGGCAAGATTCTTAGCCACAACCTCCCTACATGGGAAGCCTTCTTACCATAAGTGGGCCCACCGATCTTTTGAACCAGCACCTAGAAGTAGACAGGTGTCGGTTAAAAAAAAACCGGCACATATATATGAACAATCCCTCATGAGGGTTTATGTAGTAGTATCGTCTCATCTAATAAACATCGCTACTATAGAAACATGTATAGAGGGATAACCGGCATTGACACCAAGTAGGGATCACTAACGCCCCAAATTAATTGGTGTCGGTTCCACTACCGTCACCTATAAGGAAATATCCAGTTCTATATATTAAACCTGTACCAATGAGGATGAGCGATGCAAAAAAAATAAAGCCCTGGCAAGGTTGGAA